AATTCACATCACTTTTCGCTTGTCCAAGTCTCTTACTCTCTCATTTATCTTTGTAACTGTGTTATAATCCAGTGTTGTGGCATTGTAACTGAATTATAATTCAGTGAGACAGGAATATGTGCAGGATGAAGGACAAGATCCGTTTCAATCTAAAAATTGAAAAGCATACTTAAATTAACCTGGGAATAAATATATTAAGAAATGCCACTTTGCTCCCCAGGTTGGTGTATGCAAGTTGAGTATATTCTACCATAAACATATTTTCACAGTTGGGACTGTTTCCTCAGCACAGGCACTGAAATGATTTTTTTCAGATCTCAAAACTAATTTACTATTCCTGGAAGAAATAAGCAAGGAAAGTGTCTGTTCAACAAGTGCTTTACAGCCCTGTCAATCAAAATCAACTTACACTGGGAAGAATGCAGTGTCAGTGACTGTTTCTTCCCCTTGGTGCTTGCCAGAAGCACAAGGCAAACCGAATCACAGTAAAGAACCCAGCTGAGGAACGGGCCGAGGGAGACAGCCGTCATAAAAACTTACCAGTCTGAAGTGGGAAGGGCAAGCACTGGGGGCACACGAATTTGAACTCATTTTGATACTGTGCCTCGGTTTCTTACTGGAGGCACCCAGCGCAGAGCATTAGTCATCAAACCGGGTGTCGTTACAAATTATTTGAAACCAGGTGCAGAAGATTGGATTGATTGAGTGGGGCAGGAATAATGAAAGCACTTTCTTAGTTTCTCCACATTGACCTCTTCAAGACTGGCTTTCAATAACGTAGTTATCACTTAACTTTTTATATTAGAATTGTATATTTCTGTAAGATATAGATAGGTATTTATATCCTAATATTTCATGACAGATTTTCCCAATGGGAGCCCTTAAAGATATTATTCTTTTTACAAGTCTCAGCAGCTCTCCCTGTTTCAGTGAGCATTAGTTGTGGTTTTAGTAAGTGATCTTTGAAACAAACAAGAGGAAATTCCTCTGAACACTATTCTTTCACTACCCACAGAAAGAGAAAAATCTACCATCTAGTAAACTATGCATCTCAATTAATCAATCTAATAACTACTTTTTTTCCAGTCAGACAGGAATAAGACTAGCACAATTGTCATATGGACCACAGAGAATAATCAGAAATCTTAAAAACCATAAGGTTGAGGCACTACTAATGCTCTGAAGGGCTCAATTCATCCCATAACGCAGTTTCTACAACTACCAGCCATTTATATGGCCCAGTCATCAGAGCGGGCACACTGGGACAGGTCAAAGGCAGCTCTCGTCCAGAATTCTGGCTCCTGCGGGAACACTGTTAACGTGAGCCTATGCCTGAACCCCAAAACCTTCCTTACCAGGACCAGAGGGAAGCACGCACTGTCCGCACATCTTGGTGGATGCTTGTTAAGATGAACTAGCATTTTTCAGATCAAAGGTATGGATGAAGACGAAGGAGATAAGAGATAAAAAAGCTTTTGCGTATCTGTAAGTAAATGTGCTTTTCTTCAGAAAGAAAACCTGAACAAAAAGCAGTGACCCGTAGGAAGCGTCTGAGACAGGGACAGCAAACCATGACCCTTCTCTGGTGGAGTGACCTGCAGACAGGGAAAGTTGCTGTATCATCAGAAAGTGCTAAGTGGTAATTGGGAACCTTAGGCGTCTTTGGAAGCTTCTGTTTGGATGGCGCCTAGAACAGCACTGTGGAGATGACGAGGCTCTGGTGTCACACAGAACTACAAATGTGAATGCACCAAAAGCTGCAAGGCACCCAGACACATTTTTTGTTCAGCAGCCTACATTAGTTATCAAGATGAGCTAAAAGCTTCATTGTGATATTTTGAAGTCAACTAGAGTTATGCTACTGATTACAATAGGGTCACATCTCACTTTGTTTCTCTTTGCTTTTTGGATTGGTTTTTTGTTGTTGTTTTTGGTGGGGTTTTTTGATTATTTTTTTTTGTTTTTAATTCCACCATCTTCTATCCTTTTAATTCTTTCAGCCTTTTTAGAGGACCATCAAACCATCATTTTCAATCTAGGTAGCTGGAAAGCTAAAGAAAAAAAAAAGATTGTAACTAGAAATTCTTCTGCCAACTGATCTAAGACAAATGAAGTAATTTAATTTTCAGATTTTGCATTAAGTGTGTTGGTTTCAATATACAGATCTAATTCACTCAACGTTGCAGTTACGAAAAGCCATATTCTGTATTCTCTTTTCTGATGAATACTACCCAAGGAATACTAATTAGAGTGCTTGAGGAGTAAGGTAAGCAAGGCTGGCAAAGTCTGAGCTTTTATTTATTTACTCTGTGTTATCTCTGTCCAAATGTTCAAAGCAATATGGGTGGTGACTGATTCACTAGTTAAATTCAAAACAGCGTGTGTGTGCAAAAGTCTGCCAAGTTTCTCATGTATATAGCTATTTGTGAGAAGCTATGCACAGCCAAAAAACAATCAACCAGTTTCTTAATTTCATTTTATATCTTTATTCCCATTGTAAGTATTAACAATCATCCAAAAGACCATTTAAATTTGGTTTGGATACACAATAGCATTAATCACAGTCCAGTTTCTTTCTTTTTTTTTTTTTTACTGCAGTTCTAGTATTTCGTGATCTGTTTTAGTAGTTCTGTTGTTGGTGTATTTGCTTCCAGCAAAATAGATTTTTCAGTGTCTGTAGATTATTTAAAAAGACTGTTAAAGATAAAAAAATCCATAATGCAATGATTAACGGTATATTAATAAAGCTTATTATCTTCCATTTAAGATTAGTGTGTTTGATGACCCAAAACTTACTTTTTTTGTGCATTGTCTGTTCTCTTTTCAAAATAAGTTCATAAACAACCACAATATAATTTTTCATTACAGCAGTTCATTGCAGTAACATTTTCAATTGGACTGAAATCCTTTTAAGAGAATGAGGTAAGTAAAACAACCCTACAAAGTAAAAGGTTCTGTTTAAGCAAATGACAAGTTACACACAATCCAATGCTAAGGCAGTATCGCAATGTATAAATTAGCATCGATAGAAAACATAAAGGATTTTCTAAATTCAATTCCTTATTATTATCTAGGGAAAACACATTGTGGATTGTATTTTAGTCTTCAAGTGAAGAAGAATCACAAAATGCAGTCAAAGAGACATCTTTCATCGTGTCTTTTAAAAGCCTGTGAGACAAATTCCTTCATCAAATTCATTAATGTAAAAACAAATTCAGAAAACATATTTGTGAATGCTGTCCTGTTAAATTATGAATACCAATAATAAATTCTTTAGTTCCTCATTTATTTGCGTACTCTGCATATGAACAGGCACGAATATATATATGAATAAAATATGTCTATTGTATAGCCATACACAGAGCTAATATGAATGCTTCTGTTGTACAATGTCAGAAAAGGACAGATTATTAATCAAAGTAGAGAGGAGAGAGAAGCAAAGAAGAAAGCAGATCATGCACAAGAACTCTGTTAGTTGTTTTAGGATTCCAGACTTCAGTGTGACAGAAAATGTGTGCTTTGGGTACAGAACAGTCAGCTAACAACTCTTTATTTCACGAAGGAAGTTTGGGATCAACATCAGCTTCTAAAAGGGGTTTAAAACAGATATAGATAACCAGGTGAAGGGAAAGAAGAAGGGGAAGGAGACCAAGAGATCATGCTATCCTAAGTTTTGTCTGAGCACCAGAGAGTGTAACATGGTGGGAGTAAGGGGAGGAATGCTGGTTTCAGAAGGAAACTTGCTGAACTCAGTGCTCTCGCTCAGGACAGACTGAGTATCAGCCTCACTGGACACTTGTGGCGGGGATGTTTCCCTAAGACCCTGTTCCAGTCCTGACAGCTACATAAGACATTAACTTAGCCCCTTCACATGTTGCAGGAAAGCTGGAATTCCTGAGTCTGATGCATAGGGAGGGACAGGTGTTTTCAGGGACTGTCCTCTTCTTGTATTGCTCTTAGTGGTTGTGATACCTGGAGATACTCCACATAATAACCATTCACCATTTTACCTTCCTGTCCCAACTTCCCAGACTTGAATATCAATGCAGCATATATTTGAACGCATAACACTCAGTTCTCTTCACTACTATTTACTACATACATATGCTAACCAGCAAGAAATGAAAACCCCGTTCTTGTAGATGAGCTAACAGAATCTTCCTATTTCTTCATTACCTATAGATCAGGTTTCAAAACATTTTTTTCAGTCTTAACTCTTCCTTTAAGCATGCATACGCACATACATGCATATACGTACACACGCACGTGAACACAGAGTATGTGTAATACGGTACTCAGAGGAGCTATTGGAGCTACTTCAAAATGATGGCACATGGGTACTGGAAGAAGCGCAGCACTAAGGAGTGCTACAGCCAGAGCATATCACATCTGGAAAACTGGGGTTGAGCACGTTATTGCCCCCATGCACATCTTTTCTTTGTGTCAAGGTCACCTTCATTACACGGAGGACGGGGATCTGACCCTTCCAACGCTTCTTGCAATGTGCGTTTCTGTTGATGTCCGGAAGGCTACACTGTATAATGAACTCTACATTCACTAATAGGTATAGCAGCAATTTTTAAATAATTTCATATAAAAACCAAGAGCTGTGCTTTAGGATTATTTTGTCTTAAATCAAATTTCATTCATGCAGTCCTAGAGTATGATACACGTGCAAGGTTAAAGACAAATCTGCATGAAGACTGAATGCTTTGGTGTCCTCTCTGCACCTTGTTGAATGATCAGTACCTCACAAAAACATTTCCATATCACTCCTCACAGTATGTATCCAGTGTATCTCAAAATGATTTATATTTCATTTTACAATTTATACATAATATCATACTTGCATTTTAAGTATCAAAAATATGTTGTTAAAAGATCTTAACAATAAATGTCATAAATCCAGAGTTTTCATCAAAGGGTAAAATGATTCAAGACCTTTAGTGAATGGACGATCAAAAAGAAATGTTTCCAAAAGCTACACATGATTTATGGTATTATGCTACCAACAGTTGCCCAGTCAGCTCCGGGTTTCTGTCCTTTATTACTGCCATGATAAGGGCAGCAGCAGAATTTACTGTCTCCTGAAGCAGCAAATGGTCCTGGGAAGAAAAGAAAAAAGAAGTGGAAGAAACAATACATTAACAACAGTGGAAAAAGTAACTATTTAAAAACTATTTTCAAGTATGCAAAATTACCATATGATTGTTGAAAAAATATATATTTATTTGCACTTATTAGGAGAACTTCTAAAACTTATACTTTAAGGAAACACAATTTCGTAGTAATATCCATTCTCCAATCTCCATGATGATTTAAAAAGCAAAATTGTTTTTTAAAAAGGAATGCATTTTAACTGCTAGAATTAATGCCATCTATCCAGAGACCACCAAAACAGAAGCTTGTTTCTGTCACTTGCTTCCTAAGTGATTTTTAAAATCTAAAAGGTAGTCAAAATTTTGGGTTTGAAAACATCAGAACAAAATTGAGGATTTAATTGAGTAGCGTAGTTAAAGACCTATAACTTTAAGCATCTACTGAATCCCATGTGTAGTCTACAAACTACTTTTAAACTCAGAAAGGCACTTAAGCACTGGGACTTCAGTGGTTTAGGCTGATCTTTGTATCAAATAACGTTAAAAAATAGTCTGGATTTGATAGGCAAGTATAGAGACCAACACAGGAAGAAGTAATAAAATGAGACTTTGATTCTGTGCTTCTAACTGAGCACTCTAGCTCACATTTGAAAGAGTCCTTTGTCTAATTGCCAAGTTTTCTTAATTGTATTGACTATAAAAGGTTGGCCTCTTGCTACCAGTAACATTTTAATTTGCACACTGGGAAAACATCAATAGGTGTAGCCAGGCATAGACACACCCCTGGGGAGAGAAATAGGAGGGAACAATTTCTGTGAAGCAACAGAGAAAAAGAAAGGTCTACAAAACCCTAGGGAGAATCTAGAAGAGTTTCAAATACAGAAGGGAAGCTACAAAGAGAAAGCAAGAGCTGTCCTCCGTACCCACAATGGATAAAACTGGAAGCTGTAGGCTTAAGGGAACTTAAACTGGGATACAAGAAGTCAGGAAAGTGTTTTGACAGTGAGGACTGGCATACAATAGAACAGATTATTGGACAGATCAAGGAAACTCCATCATTAGGGTCCTGCCACATGAGACCTGCATACACGGAAAACAGGATGCAGGTACGGCGTCCACAACTTTTCCAAGATGCTGCATCAAGGAATAATTTGTAGATGACATGTTTAAGACACTTGGATTAATGGAGAAAGAGGAAATGGTTTCAACAACTTACACAAAAACATAATGTTAATCACTGCTTTTTAAGGCCACTGCTGAGGTACCTGTTCAACTCGTACAGAGCAGAGCTGGAGAGCAAAATGCTGGGGTTGAAGGAAAAATTGATAGGGGAAAAGTATCGCTGGAACACTAAAATATGTAGCATAATATTTTATAATGCTCTTATTAACATTCTGCTTTATGTAAATGACAGGAAAAATGCTAGAGAGGTAAATGGACAGTATTAGAAATAGCTAGTTTATACCTGATTCTTGTATCATTGCTGGAAGAACGATAATTGCATGTGACTAAATTTTTATCCAAAAAAATGATAGCAGCTTTCAGTACTCAAAGGGGGACTACAGGAAAGATGGGGAGGGACTCTTTATCAGGGAGTGTAGTGATAGGACGAGGGATAATGGTTTTTAACTGAAAGGGCAGATTCAGATTAGACATTAGGAAGAAATTCTTTACTGTGAGGGTGGTGAGGCACTGGAAGAGGTTGCCCAGAGAAGTTGTGGATGCCCCATCCCTGGAAGTGTTCAAGGCCAGGCTGGATGGGGCTTTGAGCAACCTGGTCTAGTGAGAGGTGTCCTTGCCCATGGCAGGAGGGTTGGAACTAAATGATCTTTAAGGTCCCTTCCAACCTAAACCATTCTACGATCTAAACAAGCTGTTAGAATTTGTAAACTCCCAAAAGATTACACCCCTCACAAACTCATGTTATATATTCTCATATGCATTAAAATTATTCACTAGTGGTCTAAAAGATTGTCTTGGAGTAAAAATGTTCACCACAGCTGTGTCTTGCTGTTTACTGAGTGACACGTCCCATTCAGGTCAGCAAGGAGCGCAGAAGTGTACCCAGGACTTGCTCCTCCAGTACCTTTTGTGGTGGACTGAGGGTACAAAGAGGAAGTCAGGATGCGCTACTCCAAGTTGGTAGGGGTTTCACACCCTCATTTCCCTTGGGTACAAATTGCTGTACAATGTACCAGGAGAGCAGAAGTCCTGTGCATACACCCACTCAGACGGCAAACGCTGCAGTCGCTTTCAAGATCGAGCAACGCATTTATTGATACTCAGCAGTGCCAATCTCTTTGCGCCCCTCATTGCTTTTTGTTCAGTTGGTCTCGAGAAGCACTTCACAATTACAGACACTGTTTTCCAAATGGGCTTCCAGCCATATCTGAAGTTGGCTGGAGGTGTGTATTTTTTTTTTCACATTTCACAAAAAAGAAAAAAAATACACCTGGCCAGGAATGTTCTTAATGTTTCTTCCAATAAATCTTTCCACATCCTCTGTTGGTTACTGGATTCAGTACACATTCCTTTGCAGTAATAAATTATTTAAGTTTTTGAACATAAAAGGAAGCAAGAGAAAGAAACTTAACTTTCGCAGAAGAGAATGAAAGTGACACCATAAGATTCCTTTAGACTGAAAAAAGCTTTTTCTAAAGCTAAACCTGAGGCTTTAGTGCTAATTTCCATGTTCTGAAGGAACAAAAAATTATGAACCATATTTGTGACCCAGGCAATGCGGCACAGTGATGTGTACAGAAACGCGCATGCAGAAGCAATCTATAAACCACACTGAAATCAACTGGTGAATTGCAATTTGTTCAAAAAGAGAAACACAAAAACTAAGCAGCACAAATTAAAATAACTAATAATCTGATTATTAATACTATTCTGATTCCTGTCTTTCTTAGAATCAATGAATACAACGGCAGGAGCAATGAACTGTCATACAGGATTGGCCCCTGTGCAGGACTGGTCCCTGTAGGTCTGTTTTTTGCAAATAACCAGAATTGTATTCTTTAAGTGAATATACATTATCTTATTTAAGGTAACAAATGTAATAGAAAAGATATTCTGAATTTAATAGAGTTATCGTTGATGGTTAAATGACATTGTGAAGCATGTACTGAAGTGTTCAAAAGGGCAATTCTTTAAAGTATTTATCATAGGGGTTCCTGATTTTTAGATTTATGCTGTTGCTCCTTCCCGGTACCACTGTCCCAGTCTGATCTCAGGGTCACCTATTCATTTAGCAGTGGCCCGCACCTGGCCTACGAGCCTGCCTCTGCGCGCAGGAGAAATCAGTGCCACAAAGGTCAAGTATGTGCCATTTTTAACTTGCTTTATTCTCCCAGCCACAGTTTTACTGGAAAGAGATAGTAAATAATGCAAAAAATGGGACTCTTCCAGGAATTTCAAAATCATTGTATATCCTGTATCTTTCTGAGAATCAAAACTCGCTCTTATGCTAGGAATCACTATTGTAGTATCCGATGGTCATAGCCTGTGCAGAATTGATAACTTTTGTTGATCATTTCTAGTCTTTACTACCAAGAAAAAGAGAACAGAAAAAGAAATTTTAGCAACTCAAAGAGAACACGTTGTTCAAAGTGTAGGCATAACGCTGACTGACGCAATAGTTAAGTTATATCTAATGAAGAATATTAAAAAGAATTGAAATGACAGAATTCAACAACAACCCAGGAAATAAAAGGAATCTTGTGGGTCTTTATTAATTTAAAGTTAAACAAATAAGTGAACACATTAAGTCCCCTGGCTATGCCCTTAAAACACTCATGTTTCTGACACTGCAATGTTATTTCTGGCAACAGCGCTGATTACAGCTGATAGTGCCTACAGGGAGGCTTCAATAAGAATGCCAGGACAAATTTAATCTACCACACCTAACTCCATTGCACACACAGGCCTCCGCTCCTCTTTTATATTCAATGGCACAGCACTAAATCTTTCAAAAATCTCATTATTAGTTGCAGGAAGTCAAATAATCAAGCCGAACCAGGTCTTCACATGTCTAATTGCCTGCCGTGTTTGCATATATTGTAACCATGATAAAAAACAGGATGTAAGAACAGAACGATCAATACAAATCCTCATGTAGCCCACAAGAGCTCTTGCACGTTATTGCCCACCCACTGCTCAGCGTTGCAAATTCCAAGCAGAGAACATACTTCAGCAGGCTAGTCAGCGAGCGCATATCCGTGCACGCGCTGGATGGATCAAACACGAATAGTTCTTTCCCTCATTAACGAAATCCTTAAAAAAAGACCGTGACCTTTAAATAAGACTCGGAGGCACTAACGATTTTAATGGATTAATGACTGAATTTCCACATGATCAACTGGTGTGCCATGATCCCCCCTAAACCACTGTGATATTCACTGTCTATTCATTCCATCCAGCGATTAAAATGAGTCTCTTGTAAAAAAGAAAAACCAAAACCCCCTAACATTTCTTGGCCATTAATAAATAGAATTTTTTATTGTTTGAACAGATGATTAACTGCATTTATAAGCTAAAAACAAAACTTTTACCACTTTATATTTATGTTCTTTGGAAAAGAAAGTACTCAGAAACACTGCCAACCTTATAAACCATAAATCCACATAACAGCACTTTGATTCCAAAATAAAATATCCACTTTGTCTGTTATTAAATAGTAAGAATATTCCAACATAACCATATTGTGTGATGGTTGTAACTCATATTCAGAATTTATTTGATGTAGAGTTACTGACTGTAGGGGTTTTCTGGTCTGCAGAATAAGACTGGGAATGGATACAGGGACAGAGTTAAAGTTGTGTTTGGAATATGCAATCTGATATTTTACAAATGTGCATTTATTTAGGAAACTGTGAGCATATCTGAATATTTACTGACATCGCCCTAACGATTCATTTCCTTGCTTCAATCTGTTTAGGATTTTTTTTTTCCCCAGCTGGAACTACACATATATGCATGCTTCAATTTACATATGTACTAGTTCA